TTAGTCAGATGGATTATCATGTAAACACGTGTATTAGCCAGATGGATTATCATGTAAACACGTGTATTAGCCAGATGGATTATCTGTGTAAGCACGTCTATTAGCCAGATGGATTATATATGTAAACACGTGTGTTAGCCAGATGGATTATCCATGTAAACACGTGTATTAGCCAGATGGATTATATATGTAAACACGTGTATTAGCCAGACTGCCAGACGGATTATCTATGTAAACACGTGTATTAGCCAGATGGATTATCTATGTAAGCACGTGTATTAGCCAGATGGATTATCATGTAAACACGTATTAGCCAAATGGATTATCTGTGTAAGCACGTGTATTAGCCAGATGGATTATCATGTAAACACGTATTAGCCAGATGGATTATCTGTGTAAGCACGTGTATTAGCCAGATGGATTATCATGTAAACACGTATTAGCCAGATGGATTATCATGTAAGCACGTGTATTAGCCAGATGGATTATCATGTAAGCACGTGTATTAGCCAGATGGATTATCTATGTAAGCACGTGTATTAGCCAGATGGATTATCTATGCAAACACATGTATTAGCCAGATGGATTATCTATGCAAACACATGGTAGCGCATGTAGTCAGCAAAATGGGCGATCATTTTAAACTTGTTTAGCCGGATGAGTGATCGCCGTAATATTAGCATCACACCGTGTAACGAAGGATGCTGGAAGTGCTCTACACCGATCAACATAGAAACAGAACTGTAAAGTTCGACGATGAACAAAGTTTGGTGATGCAGGATTTATTATAGATCACCACACGACGATCTTGCTATAGACTTGAGCTGCTTCATTAGATGGGCAATCTGAGAGTGGCATTGTGAACTGTTACCATACAGACATGGCTGTGCCCAACTTGGAATGGCACGATGAGTGTATGCGCTTGACAGAGCCTTTTCTTTATGAGAGGCATCTGCTCATTCCGACGACATTGTAGGCGTGATAAAAATGACGGATGCTGCTGTTTGTAGTCAAATAGGTTTAGATGATAGGCTCAAGCATGCCTTGCCTACATCACGCACGTACATATATGAAGCGATGTTCGTGTTTCAAGTGGACCTCAGAATGAGATTTACAGCGAAGTGTGATTGGCGGACACATTTGTCATTAGATTATGAAGGCATATATGTAAATGGAGTCATCAGAAGCTGTAAGTTGCAGTTCGGCACAGTGTGTTCACATGATAGTAGCGTAGGTAGGCACTCGGTTAAATACCGCTGTTACAGTTAGAGAGGGTGCGGGGTGAACATTGGAATCTTTACTTATGTCGTGTCCAGTGCTGTAATGATGTCTGAAGAAAGCATCCTATTTTAAAATCGGACAGGCAAATGAGTAGTTACTGATGACTTCATAAATGGCTGAATTCGAGTAATTGTTATATCGCGAGGGGTGCGAGGCACCATCTTATGTGTATGGCGAATATCGACTGTATGGACAAGCGAATCTCACCATATGTTAGTTCCAGTTATTAAGTAGGAAATGAAGATGACAATAGTCCGTATATCGGGGACCGGGTGCGAGAGGGTTGGGATGTACAGAATAACACAGGAAGAATTACTTTTGCAGCAGCTAAGTGCAGTCGTTGTGAACTGTGGTGACCGCATTGCGGCCCAGCATCCTGGCGTGATGAGCAAAACATTATAGATGTCACATTGCTTGTCTAGACCAATGTTTACGCATCAGCCCAGCGGAGAAAAATGCGACCATTTGAAGGGTTCAAGCGGAAAGCTATTGTCATTGTTCCTGACGACGAGGAGTTTAAGAGACGTATCATAAAGAGGACAAAGGACGAGGGCAAGGAAGTACCCGATTCAGCGGTGCTTGAGATGAAAGGTAGGGTCAAAGGTCACCACTGTGGAGAGCTATTATTCCACTGTGTCGTAAAAGTGTCTTAGTGTGCCTCCTCTGCTGGCAGTGTGGTTTGGTTTATTCCGTGGTGCGTGTACATTACTGTGAAAAGTGCAGTATGTGGGCATGTGTAGCAGCAGTACTGTGTACGCTCATGTGTACCTTCAGCGGTAGCAGTGCCACTGACACATTCATGCATGTGCTAGTGTCCTCTGTTACAGCTGACGGTTTACTTTCCCTCCTTTCTGATGCTGCCATGGATTTTTCCATAGTCGTTTTCATCCTTACATGATTTCTCTGAAGCACAGGAGAGGCTCTGTGCAGTGGCTCCTGAACGCATGCAACCTACGTGGTCCGTGTTTCACACGAGTGTTGGTGTACTTCGAAAGCCGTCTAATGCGGCCACCCGCCACTGGTGTCTACTTCTGTAGCTGACTTCAGCTACTGCCAGGAGCCTCGCTGCTGCAGTAAATCGACGCCATGTGGCATCGGCTAATCCTGTATCGTGTGTGTGTGCCCACAGCAAACTTCACACTGCCGGAGACGGGCGGGTTTTTCGACGAGATAGAGTTCACAGAACTGGAAAAGGACGAGGTAGTGAAGCTGGTAAACAAGTACCGTGACGAAGGCAAGGCGGCCCTTCCTCCCGACCATAAACGTGGAAGGTTCTCTGATAGAGACCGAGGCTTCTCCGGTAATCGTGATACGCGTGGAGGTTTCCGTGGCAGGGACGACTTCAGAGGTGAGACGAGCATGCGACAGCGGAGTAGATTTATTAATTCTGCGACCGATAGGGTGGGCTAGGAAGGCAGATGTATAGCATGTTGTTGCAGTTTTTAGAACGTGTTCTGACTATCGTAAGAATGCGTGCACCGCGCAAAACTGTCGATGAACTTCTGAACTTGTGAACTCTAGGCTCTCTAAAGATTCGTCTTTGGCGAATTCTTCGTCAGAATGCATTCAGTAATGAGTTTCCCTGCAGGTCGCGGTGGAATGAGAGGAGGATCCGGCATGTTCCGCGGTGGGCGAGGAGGATTCAACGACCGCGGCAATGAATACAGGGGAAGCCCTCGCGGAGGTGGGGGGTTCCGGGGAGGTTTCCGTGGCAGCAGTCGTGGAAGCTCCGACACGCGCCGAGACCGACCAGTATCCAACTGGAAGAGTGATTCAAGTATGTATTACCACCCTGTGACGTAGCACGTGATAATGGTAGTGACATGTGATGATGACGTGGGTGGTTTTTAGCTCACCTTGACATCGTCAAGCTGAGCTATTACCATGGGTTGTCGTACGTCCGTCCGTCCGTCAACATTTCGCTACGGTCAACGATAACTCAGGAACCGTTTGACCCACATGTTTTTAATTGGGTATAGTTGTTACTGCTATGCTCCCATATTAAACGTCCTATTTTGAAGCACGCCAGTCGACGTACTTTCGAGCCATGGCGATTTTTTTTGCAAAAATGGGAATTGCCATTAGTCAGTTCAGGTTCCACAGATTTTGATATTTAAAAGAAAATTATGCAAATTAGGTAGGGTTTGGCAATTATATAGCATATTATATAGACACAAACAGTCTGTGGTGTCACACTCTCTGCGTCTGGTTCGTTTTCCAAGATTTATTGAAATATCTTTAATGCAAAATTGGTATTTCCTCTCCACCTGCCGATAAAGTCTATATTAGAGTAAAATTTTACATAAAATATGTCTGAACGCAGCATAACCTATTTATTTCAAACGCCATCGCTACAAAGCGGTATGCGCAATCTGCGGTCACAATTGTGATTCATTTTGGTTTATAAATTATTATTCGGCGATATACAGATCTGGCAATCGTTTCTATAATGTACGTCGATGGTTGCTCAATTAAAACTGACTGCTACAGTGTCATTGACACTTTCATTATTTATTGTTAACGGTGACGTGGTAGCCACACGGGGGTTAATGTGACAGTTCCCCGTAAAGATTTGACTTTGTTGACCGAGCAGGTTTTGGGTAGGCATTCTTGACGGACTCTAAAATAAATCGAAAACCTATGAATAATGGTGAACTATTTTGTGCACATTCTTTGCATAGTGTGTTTTTACTTCATACATTGTACATGCTGAATGTGTGCAAATAAGAGTTAAATCTATGTATTTTTCTATAAGTTCGACCTCCTTTATCCAGCCACGTACGGGACCGGCACCCATCCGGTATGGGATTTGGCGCGATATGAGAGTTATGCTCAAACACAGCATTTCTATGCAGTTCAGTAGGGTTTATTATGGCATGTGATAATGTATTTACTCGTTGCTAGATTATTTTGTGTTTTATGGTTTATATGAAATGGAAATAAAATGAAATAAACAGAATTTACTGAGCATAGCGACACGAGCGACAACACACGCACACATCGCGCGAGAGTTTTGAGCGAGATTTTTAGGTGGAAATGAATGAAAACAGAGAAATACACTGCGAGATCGCGGCCGGTTAATAGAGATTTCGGATAAAGGAGGTCGACTGTTATATCTATTCTAATCGAACCTATCTGTTCGCAGGCTCGTCATACGGTAGTCGGTGGCAACAACGAGAAGAGATAGTTACCAATCCCCATACTCGTCTAGAGGGTGGCAAGCAAAACAGCCGTCACAACAGGTGTGATGTGAATAAGATCATTTCCGTAGTCGAATATCTTTAGCATGCAATCTCTTATGATCAGCATCATCTCTATCAACAGCGAATCATCTTTTCGTTTCTTAAACTGCAACTCGCTGTATTTATAATAAGTAAGTATTATTGGGTGATTGTGTGCTGTTATCTACATGGTTTTGTGTGTGTTGCAGTCCGGTCAGTCAAGTGGGGAAGTGATATGGTCAGGGTTCATACGGCCATCAAGGATATGGTCAGAGCTATGGCAGCCAGCGGGCTATGGCCAGAGTCAAGGATATGGGAGCTATGGATCACAGCCGGTTAGTAGCTGTGCCTGTAAATTTGCTTATCTTTACACATGAAATGCATTATATTATACCTACTGGCATTATTCACACGATGTGTTTCTGGTAGCCATTAACGTGCAGGGCAATGTTTTTGAGGCCAGAGCTGTAATAAAAAGAATTTGCGACGGTATCATACCGACTGAGGTGAACGCTTGGTGTTAAACCTGGAATAACCACATCAACGCGTTGTGGCATGAAGAGCAAAAAAGACGACTAATTTCAGGGTGCGAAATTAACGCGGAGTCAATCCTCCGATTTACTGTCGGACTCCCTGATGTTGACATATGCAGGAGTCCGTGTGACTCCCTGAAATTCTGCCATACTAACGTAGTTCGTCTGAGCCACGGCCTCAGGTGAATTACCGTATTTTTCAGCTAATGTCCAAACAAATTTGCAGACGTGCAACCGCATGAATCTTAAAAAAAGCACATGCGTTATTGTTAATATCTTTAATTTGAACCTCAGACTGCAGACTCCTCATTTTGCTGCGCACTTCTTCTTTTTGAGGGTAGGGAGTACGTTGGACATCCGCGTGTTCAAAAGTTATATTCTAGCGCTCTGCTATGTTCCTAGTTGATAATA